CTAGGGGTCGAAAACTCCTAAGGGCATCCACACATAGTGACAGGGGAAAACACATGTCATCAGGCTCAATGAGGGTAGGGAACTGGGAGCGAACAGAACAAATGACCCTAACAGATAGACCATCAGGGCGGGTAATGCTCGACTAAGGGGTGACCGCTATGGAGGGTCGACCATGCAAGGGGACAAGGGAGCCTGGTATACTGGGCGCACCTAGATGAAGCATGCGGAGCTGCCTAAATAGGGCGGGAGGGCCGGCGAAGTTTAGAAAGATGATGGGTAAGGGAATCATGTAAATGACTCCTAAAATGAGAGAGGTCGGAGCTAGATCCGTAAGATGGGAAGCCAGGGCAACGCTACGGTCCCGATGCCTATGCGTATACCAATGGAGAGCCCAACTCAGAGGAACCCGGCTAAGGGAGACCATCATGCGACACAAGCAGGGTACTGTACAGGGTAGAGTGGTAAGAGAGTGACGACGTCTGAAGTAGGCAGAGCTGATCGTGATGAAGTCCATGAAGCTGCCGATGACGTCCACGATGAGAAGTCCGGAATGTCGTCGAGGAAGAGCCGCAGCGTCGATGAGTTGAAGTAGCAAAACTGATGTGGATGGAGTACTGAGAAGTCAAAGGCGTGGGAAGGTAAGTCAGAGTCAATCGTCGTATCGAGCAGGACGACGACGAGTGCGTTGTGGACGCTCAGAAGCATCCGGCTGCTGCTGAAGGTCTGCCTCAGATGGAGCAGGCTCGACTTCAGCGGTCTCCTCAGCCGGGGGAGAAGGAGAAGGGTCAGTGGGATGAGGAGGAGCAGTGAACCCAGCACGACGAGCACGGTCATAAGCACGCACCAACATGCGAGCGCGCTGCAAGTGCTCGATGGGCTCCCAGGTAGCCTCCTCATCAGGGTAACCCCTCCAACGTACGAGATACTCTACGTGGGGAGGGTTATCGTCGGTGACTTGGCGATCAATGATGTCTGAAACGAGGAACTCCTCGTGGCCGTCCACCATGATGAGTGGAGGGCGCTCGTAGGGTCGTCCAGCGAAACGCTCAGACGGTCTGCGGTAAGGACGCAGTAACGAGACGTGGTAGACATCATGCACACGAGCCTGGCATAGGTAGTCGGGCAGCTTCACACGAAAGCTGACCGGGCTAGATGCCGTATCAGAACCGACGGTCTGGAGGATGCGGCATGGGCCAAAGAAGTGACGCCGAAACTTGCAAAGCGTGTCCGCTTCGAGCTGTAAGTGGCGGGCGTCGATAAGCACATCATCACCGACCTTGAATGGATGATCCATCCTCGATCGGTTCGCACGTGCTGCCATGCGAGTCTGGGAAGCGGCTATGTGCTCATGTGCGGTCTTCATGATCGACGTCATGTGTGCAACCCAATCGCTCAGCGTGGGACAAGTCGTGTCGGGGTGCAGCTGGGACGGTCGAAGGAAGTCCGCGGGAACACGAGGGTGATAGCCGAGGTCGCAATAGTAAGGCGACATCCCCGTGGCTGCCGAGACGGCGTGGTTGTAGGCTATCTCCGCGTAGGCAAGATGAAGATCCCACTGCTGGTCGTCACGAACAATCTTTCGAAGAATATCTCCGAGAGTCCTGTTCGTGATCTCGGTCTGACCATCAGTCTGAGGATGGTAAGACGAGGAGAAGCGGAGCTGAGTGTCGTATACCTCGTGGAGCCGTCGTCAGAATCGGCTGGTAAAGCGCGGGTCACGGTCAGATATGATGCTCAGAGGTAAGCCGTGATCACGTACGACTCGGTCAAACACGATGTCGGCGACCTCACGTGCACTGATGGCATAGCGGCACGGAACAAAGCGTGCACGCTTCATGAAGCGGTTGACGACGACCAGGATAGCATCATGACCACGAGGGGTCGGAGGACGAAGGGAACCGATAAAGTCCATCGAGATGGACTGCTAACGACCCTCAGGGATAGGAAGAGGCTGGAGCAAACCATAAGGTAAGTGGTTCGCACTGTTCACCTCCTGACAGGTGGGACACTCTGCGACGTAGTGCTTCACAAAGTCCTTGCGCTTCGGCCAGACGTACATGTGGCTCACACGAGCCAACGTCTTATGGAAGCCCATATGACCGGCAGCTGCCTGGTCATGGAACTCTGCTACTGCTCGGACACGTAGCTATCCAGTGGAGGGAACGCAAATACGGGGTTCTCTGGTGCCCTGTGAGCCGTGCCAGTACACAAGACCGTTGTCCCCGAGAGAGTAGTTCGGGACGGTCTTTCCACTCCGAAGGGTCGCGTGGATGTCGCGATAGTCGGGGCAGTGGCGGTACTGAGTGCGAAACTCTTCGATCACCGAGTGGTGAACGGTGGTGACCGAGATGGAAGAGAGCTGGATGTGCTCCTGGTCGTGGTCAGGGCGCCGGGAGAGGGCATCTGCGACCCGATTAGTCTCACCCTTGATGTGCTCAGTGGTGAAACTAAACTCAGATAGGTCGCGCCACCAGCGAGCCTCTCGAGCAGTGAGCTTCGGCTTTGTCAGAAAAGCCTGGACAACACCTGGACAACAGAGTTGTCCGTGGGCACCGTGAATAGTGCCCCGTGCAGGTAGTGACGCCAGTGCCGAGCGGCATAAACTACTGCGAGAACCTCACGTTCATTAGCAGTGTAGTTTATCTCGGCGGGCAGGAGCTGACGGGAGTAGAAGGCTATCGGACAATCACCTGAGCGAGTCTCGACAGTGCCGTCCTCGGCGATGGTAGGAGAATAGTCAATAGAAGGCTCGTCAGTAGATGGACGAGTAGGCGTCAGTCGGGAAGCAGTGGTAGGGGTAGGTGGTGGGAAGCGAGGGATACGAGGATGAGAGGAATCAGGAGAGGAGGGAAGACCTGAGAAAGCACTGCTCTTACAGCGAAGTCTGATGCATCAGTGGTAAGGATAAAAGGGCGGTCAAAATCGGGTAGGTGAATAACCGGTGCGCATGTCACCGCCTTCTTGAGGGCGCGGAAGGCGTCCTTGTGGAGGGGTGTCCAAGCCCAGGGTGGGTTCTTCCGGAGGAGGGTGGAGGTAAGGACGTAGGAATACCTAGCGTATCCCCGGATGAAGTTACTATAGTAGCTGGTCAGGCCTAGGAAGCTGCGAAGCTGCTTGGCGGATGTGGGAGCGGGCCACTCCGCAATAGCAGTGATCTTCGCGTCGTCCATGTGGAGACCCTGGTCAGACACGTAGTGTCCTAAGAAATTCACTTTGTGCTGGGCAAAGCGGCACTTGCTCAGCTTGGCGTAGAATCCATGTCTGCGCAAGCAGTCAAGCACGTCGCGGAGATGTCTGAGGTGTTCCTCAAGTGTACGACTGTAGACTAGGATATCGTCGAGGTAGACGAGAACGTACTGCTCTAGGATATCCCTGAAGATGTCGTTCATCGCCCTCTGAAAGGTAGCGGGAGCATTAGTGAGGCCGAATGACATCACCGTGAACTCATAGTGGCCGAATCGCGATCGGAACGCGGTCTTCGGCTGGTCGGCTGCAGCGACGCAGATCTGATGGTAACCGCTACGAAGATCAATCTTCGTAAAGAAGCGGTTGCCTGCTAGGCGGTCGAACAGCTCATCGGAACGAGGCATGGGGTAGCTGTTCTTAACTGTGTAGCGGTTAAGACCGCGATAATCGATGTAGAGACAGAGAGTTCCATCCGCTTTGCGAGCAAAGAGGACGGGTGCACCCCACGGGGAGTTGTTGGGTTTAATGAAACCTAGTCTCAGGAGTTCCTCAAGCTGACGCTTGAGTTCGGTGGCCTCGGGGATCGAGAGTCTGTAGGGTGCCTGGTGGTGAACACGATAGTCAGGCACAAGCTGAATGGAGTGCTCGACGTCACGCATCGGTGGAATGCCGGCGTACGAGAATGACGATGGGAAAACGTCGTGGTACTCTCGGATGAGGTCACGAACTGCGGGCTCCAAGTCAGCCGTATATCGTGCGAGTTCCTCAGCGTCAGCGTCGGCGCGCGATGGCGGGGTGGACTCGACGGACGGCGGAGGGRCGGAAGTAGAGATGGGAGCCATGGAGATAGAGGGAGGATCAGGCTCCAGAGGGATGAGCTMGGCGTCGGGACAGGGTGGATCATAGTGTAAGAGATCCGTCACGTCCACCATAAAGAAGGTGACGTCGTCCTGTCGAATGAAGTGAGCGAATTGCCGAGGCGAGGTGACAGTGATAGAGGAAGATGGTGTGGGCACTGAAGGCTCCGGGGGAGGAGGATCGGGGCGTGGTGTCGTCGTGGTACCTATGAAAGGTACGCGATACGTCTGTCTACACTTCGTTCTGAGAACGAGAGTGTTGGTCGCCCAATCGGCCTCGGTGCTGTGGAACCAACGAGACCACAGAGTGCCGAGAATGAAGTCATACCCCGTCTCCATCACATCGAAATGTGCAGAGGAGCGGTGGCGACAAAACGCCGGGGAACGATCAGTCGGCTCGAGAGTGACGAAGAAGGGGAGGTCGGTGACCTTCTGATCGAAGAAGCGCTGGGTCTTATCATCCCCTAGGGTAACGGAGATGGGAGTCGGAGACCCTGTCATGGGTAAGCGGGCTTCCTTCACCACGCGTGGGTGAATGAAGTCGCCCTGAGAACCGGAATCCCACAGCGCTGAGTACACCCTCGTGGAGGTCCCGAGTCGTACTGGGATGATCGGGAGGATGTGATCAGGGTGAGAGAGGATGGCGAGAAGGCGCCGCAGTGCAGCGACATGGAGGGTGAGTCGCTCCTGACGAGCCTGGAGCATGCTCAAGTCTAGAAGAGAGGACACAATGTCCTCGCGAGTAGCAAGCTGCTCGCTGCAACGGGCTGAGCGAATGGCTCGATGTGTCGGTAGTCGCGGCGGGGAAGGAGGGGAGACGGTGGTCTGCGGAGGCGGAGACGGTTCTGCGACAGAGGGCTGAGTACACTCTGTCGAGTCCTGTGACACCTCAACTCCAGTAGCGAGAGGGGCGAACCGCGACGGAGATGTCGGGAAGCCTACTACTGAGGAGGGCGTAGGTGTACACTGCACCATGGCTAGGAGGCGCCGCGGGGACGTGAGGCGCCGGGGGAGGACTGAGCACGACGCTGACAAGAAAGGTCAGCGTAGTGGCGGTCGAGGGCTGTAGTGTAAGAGCACCGCGAGGAGGTATGACCGTCCAAGTGGCAGCGCAAACACCCACGTTGGCCCAGAATAGCCGCGCGCTCCTCAGCGGAAAGGACACCGCGAGGAGGGACGAAGCCTTGAGGGAGGTCCTCCTGAGGGACCTCAGGGGGCGACGCGCCAGCGTGACCGGGGCGGCTGCGTGCCCGAGAGAGGGCGGAGAGCGCGAGCTGAAGGCGCTCAGCTGCAGGGAGGGTAGAGTCCTCCAAGTGATAGTGGACGGTCTCGCAGAGATCGAGGTCGTCGCTGTGGTCGCCCTCAGGTGACAGTGGGGCAACAACGTCCTGCTCACCATACTCCAGCGCGCTGAAGTGGCGCGAGAAGTGGCGGCCCTGCTGCGTGGAACGGCGGGGGCGACCACGAAAAGGGGAACGGTGCTGGGATGTGCCGTGAGAGGAGGAGGAGGCGTAGCCCGTGCGCTGGGGCTGGGAGGAGGCGGCGGGGTGAAGACGGGCTCGCATCCGCTGGTGGTCCCTGGCGGCCTCGTAAGCCTGTAGGGCCGATGTGAACTCGTACCRCCATAGCTCGGAGCGGTACTCGAGCGGAAGGCTAGCCAAGAAACGATCGATAAGGGCAGCCTCGGGGAGGAACGCCACGTCGCAAACGAGGCGGGCGTCCTGAAAGACCTGGATGTGGCGAT